CGATACTGGTCCATCAGTCCCGACCAAGCCAGCGAGTTCGGCCTCTACTGGCTTGGCGGTATCTATAATGCTTTCCCCATCTATCAGAGGCGTTAGAAACTACTGTTGGGCGGGAAATGTATCTTAATGAAGTAAGCAATATAATTAATGGTGTAAATGTGATAAAATATAATTTGTTGAAGATTTTTTATAATATTAATTTTGTAATAAATAAATAATTAGATAATGTCTTGACGACAGACAAATTCTCTGCAGATTCAGTAAGGTATGGCAACTGGAAATTGTTCTATTTTACCAATGTTAAGTACTCTCGTTTCAAATTTATGGATTATTCGAAATTTATTTTAGCGCCTGATTTAAATTATATAATTTCCTTCATTTCTGTCCAGTGTCAACTCGCATGTTGCACCTTCAACTTGTGGCAAATTAAGGAAAAAATCGTTTCTAGAGTCTAACTTTGGACCTCAAAGATATCAATAGCAATCGATATATTGCAGTATTAACATAGTTTCCCTGAAATTAACATTAACATTATAATATTATAAGCCATCAGAAACAATAAAAGAGTATGTCTTGATTGCGCATCTACTCACCACAATAGCTAAGATAGGTTTTCCTCGCAGGACTAAATTCGACGTGCTTTATGTTTGTGTCTAAACAACGGAATGCTGTAACTCTGACACAGTATGAGCCAGTCAAATTTCATGCATACGTAGGCAGAAAGGTTTCAACCGGATGTGAAATAATGCATATCTCGTCTCAGGCCTTTATTTTTTTTTCGGATCATATTTAGATTAATAATGAAACAGTTTAGATTACGTGAAATTTTATTTTACACCTATTCTTACATGAAATTACATGAAATTAGATACAACAGGATATACACACCTACTTCTCGGAAAAGTATGTTTCTACACAGCGTTTGTTTTTTCTTGTTTTCTTCCCCTTAAACGTGATTTCTGGTACTTTAAATTTCTGTTTCTGTATCTAGAGAGAAACGTAAATTGCACCAGCACAGGTACAATGTTTAGCTATTGACAGATTTGCTGGTGAGTAGTAATACATGTGTATCACCTGAAATTTACTGTTTCCACACAGTTTCGTGGTGCTTTCTTCAATTCGAACTGCATTCTCTTTGATTTGGAAGCGAATTTTGAATTTCAACGACAGCCCCGATTTCTGTTGGAAGGATTGCAGATACCTTACAGAAATTATTTAAGCCCGTAATAACGACAAAAAAAAAAGCCAAAGTTCACAGAGATGGCTGCCCTTGGCGTACATCTCGGTAGAAGTAAAATGAAAAATGTAAAATCCCTTTGTTTAACTAATTAAGCACCGCGTCATAAAGACGTATGGAGGGGTGGATGTGTAGATCCACGTATTCTTGACCTGGGCACTAATTGGAGGTAAGTGGTCAGCTTCACGCACTGACCTCTTTACCCCTGAGGAAAGAACCCCTGGTATTGTTGGATAGAAGGCCGGGTGGACCCCAAAACCGTTCTGGACGACATGGAGAGGAAAAACGTCTTTCTTCTACTAGGACTCGAACTCCGACCCCCTAAGCCGTCCAGCCCGTGTCCAGGTATTATAGCGATTTGCATTATTCCAGCTCCTGGACTACACATTGAGCCTGCTAAATTCAGTCTACGCCGAAGTTACCTTTCTTAGTAACATACACTTTAATATTATTCCCTCATGGACCACATAGGTGGTCCATGACCACAGAGTGGTCAGAGTTCCTGGCTACAAATCCAGAGGTCCCGGGTTCGATTCCCGGGGCTACCGAATTTTCTGAGACGTAGTGGGTTTGGAACGGGATCCACTCAGCCTCGTGAGGATAATTGAGGAGCTATTTCAAGGAAATAGCGTCTCCGGTCTAGAAAACCGAAATTAACAGCCGTGGGGATTGGTTGCGATGACCACGCGACAGCCTCTATCCGCCAAAGTTGGCACTAACTTCGCCGACAAGCGGCGGTCGCTCGGTCAGTATAGTTAGCTTGCAGACTCAAGCCACGGAGTATTTTTTGTTTATCATTTCCTCATGTATGATTTGATCTTCCACTAAGTTCTCCCCACAGAAATACTCATGTATACGTTCGATATGCCCCTTCCTGCCTCTCCTCGAATCAATTGTTGTCACTTTTAAAAATAAAATATATTCGTTTAACTAACGTTCTGATCACAGAATCCTAAAGGTCATCAATAAAACCAAATTTTACCAAAGAACAGGATACTGGACCAGTTTTATTCTACTCCCATTCTCACAACTTATCTCCTCGGTGTTCCAAGTAAATGTTTGCAAAGGGCATTTCCCTTAAAAGTCATTATACATTACTTACCTCCCTATCCTAACGGCAATATCAAAATATCGTAGCTTCCTAAATTTCACTACCTTAATTTTGCGTAAGCTGCATAAGTAACAAAAGTTCGTCGTTATGTTGCTTACGTACTGTTCTTGTAACTAATTCTTGTTCTCCACTCTGTAATGAATAAATAAGTAAATACCGAAGCATTTCAAATATATCTGAGTTCTGTAATTAGTCAAAGTCCCACGTAAGTATCTTTACTTTGACGTAATAGTGGGGCTTGCGTCGACATATGATCCTGATAGCTATGCTGGCGGTAGCGCATTTACTGGTAGATCTGCTATGCCGGAAAGGTCAAAGATGATGATCCAGACAAAACGGCATACCTTGGATTTCCGGGTCGGGGTTTGGGCATGGGGTTAACAACCCCCTCCCCGTAAGAGGTCTTAATTGTTGAGAAGATTTAAAAATTGCAGCCGGACGGAAATATCTAAGACTGCCTAACATAATTAAGGACTTACGAGTAGGAACCCGGAATGTTCTGTCCCCATGTCGAAGTGGGGCGCTTCCAAGGGGTACTCGACGGGTAGGTAGATCTGCAACCATGTGGCTGGATTCAGTTGAAATAGGTCTGAAGACAATAGGCTTTGGGATTGAAGACGAAAGTCATAGGATCGGAACCAATGTACAACAATCGCAAATAAACCAAAGTTCATGGACTGTAGCGCCCGCAGAGAAAGAGAAAGAACAAAAAGGATTAGGGCAAGCCCCAAGTTTTAATGCATATGCAGACTGTTGTACATGTTCGTAAAATGATGGTAGAACGGGCATTTCTGTGTCTTGCAACTCCGTTCTAATCCGACAGTACTTTATAAATTTTCGTGACGAATCTCTTCTCCCGTAAATAGGAATACAAGCGCCGCAATATAAAATTATGTTTGTTTCTCTACCGTAGGCCTGTTCCTTCCCCGCTCACATACGAAAGAAGAGATACAATTCTATTGCGCTCGATGTGCACTGTACTCAGCATCACTTGTGCTCCATTAGAGAGGAAAATGTTGGTTCTCAACCCAGGCGGTAAGGTGGAGGCTGCTCAGAAAGCAGTTACGGAACCACTGTCTTGACTGGTTCCGACAGGTTCCTGACCAGTATGATAATCTTCCAAGTTCACTGCACGCAGTTCATAAAATGAACGGGAATGGGGCATACCTGTGTGTCCGTAGATCTTTGTGTTTAACCTCGGAATCCGCTTAATGAACTCCGACAAACTGTTCAAGAAATCCTCTGCCTGTTTTAGAACCCGAAGACTAAGTAATATGTTACTGCTACTGTTCCCTCTGCTTAGCAAGTCTAATCCAATCCACAGTGTCACAGCCCACTTTTTCAAGATTAAGTTTAATATTAACTTGTATATATCCCTAGGTCTCCCAAATAGTAACTTCTCTTAGGATATACCAACTAAATTTCTTATATATTTCTCTTCCTATATGTGTTCTTCATATCCCTTTCATCGCATCCTCCTTGATCTCATAGCCGTAATGACAGTTGGTGAACAACACAAAATACGTACATACGACCTTATTATCTCTTAGTTACTAATATTCCCCTCGATATGGTTTTCTGATTAATCCAGTTCATTCTCTTAGCACCCATATTAAACGACATATAATTCACAGTTCCATACATTTAAGTCTCTGAGCTTCTTGTAAATAAGACGGGAAAATACAACATTCTCGATTAAATAATAGTTAACATTCCCTGAATATAGGAGTCGCGATAGCTCAGTCGGGATAGAGGTCGGAGTTCGAGTCCCGGTAGGTTCAAAAATATTCTCCTCTCCGCGTAGTCGAGACCGGCTCTGAGGTCCACCCGACCTCCTATCCACTGGGTACCGGGGCTCTTTCCCTGGCGGTAAGGCGGCCAGGGCGTGAAGCTAACCACTCACCTCCAGCTAGTACCGAGGTCAAGAAAATGTGGATATACATCCACTCCTCCATACGCCTTCGTGGCGTAGTGTTTTAATTCTTTGAGCACAGGGACAACTTTACCTGTACCTTCCCTTCCCTGAATTTAATCCTCTCTTAATTTGTTCTCACACACACACACACACACACACACCCATATATATATATATATATCGATACTTTAACGAACTTTCGCACTTTTCATAATATGTCTGTGGACATGCCCCTCGCTAGCGCCTAAACGGCTGGGCGGGTTTTATTCATATTTGGTATTTAAGGCAACATCCATAATAGGCCGCGGTCCTACGAGTTTGAACATTCCGGCTCAAAAAATAAGAGCCCTTGAAATGGACTCCCACAAGCAAAACGGCCCTATTTATTCTGTTGAAATCTGAGATATTTATGGAGTGCGTCGCCTGATATGAGGAAAATTAGGATGCACCAAACTAAGGGCCCAAGCCTGCAATTCCAGTTTTTCTCGGAAATCATGTGTTCCGACTTGTACACCCAGCGACCAACAATGGTCGACAAATAAGTATCTGTTTCGTTTCCCTGGTAATGCAGTCAAGGACATAGTATATGAGAAAGTATGTTTGAAGTTTTTACGCTGATTTTTTATTTGTTGCTATTGTTCCCAAGTATTTTGATTGTAATACTGAAAAAAAAGCCTCGTTAGGGTTAAGGCTATGCGCTCCTAATGACGAGACTGCACATTACAACGTCAGCACGCTAGACCGGAAGCCCATAGCGCCGATGCTCCAGCCGTTAGAACGGAACACTGCCAGCCAGACGGTTTGCACGCTATATTGTGATGTCAGAACACTGACTGCATGCAAGTGACTTTGACAAAACCAGCAGCTAGTATATATGTTGCTGTCTCGTCACCAAAATGCAAGGCAAAATCATGACATAAAGATAGGAAACAGACGTTTTGAAAATGTGGCACAGTTCAGATATTTGGGAACAACGATAACAGATCGAAACCTGATTAAGAAGGAAATTAAGAGGAGATTGAACGCAGGGAATGCTTGCTACCATTCAGTCCAGAACCTTTTGTCTTCTCGTCTGCTGTCCAAAAACATAAAAAATAGAATATACAAAACTATAATTTTGCCTGTGGTTCTGTATGGGTGTGAAACTTGGTCTGTGACATTAAAGGAGGAAGACAGACTGAAGGTGTTTGAGAACAGGGTGTTAAGGAAAATATTTGGACCGAAGAGAGATGAAGTGACAGGAGATTGGAGAAAACTGCACAATGAGGAGCTTCATAACTTGTACTCTTCTCCAAGTATAATTAGAATGATCAAGTCAAGGAGGATAAGGTGGGCAGGTCATGTAGCACGAATGGGGGAGACGAGGAATGCGTATAGGATATTGGTGGGAAAGCCAGAAGGACAGAGACCAC